GCACATGAAATTCGACTCTATATTGTAATAAATTCTTCACGAATGCAGAAATATCCCATTAAATTGTCTACAATGCGAACATATTCTATTAAATTCTCTAGAAATAAAGAAATATCCCATTAAATTGTCTGCAATACGAACATATTCTATTAAATTCTCTATAAATAAAGAAATATCCCATTAAGTTCCCTATAAGTATGGAACTATCCTCTAAATTTCTTAAAAAATATGGAAATATACTATTAAATTTTCTATCAAATCTTCAAGAAATGCAGAGGCTTAATATTATTTTTTCTAGAAATACAGAAATATCCTATTAAATTTTGTACAGACACATTCATTTAAATTATATAAAAATGTAGATATTTACGATTAAATTTTCTAGAAATGCAGGAATATCCTATTATTTTTTTTTACAAATAGTTGCATTTTATTAAATTCTATAGAAATGCAGAGATATCTCATCAATTCCTTGAAGGAACATGCGATGTAATCTCTCACTATTTTAAAGAAATTTGCATATACACAGTTCTTCCTACCCAAAACAAACGCAATTCCCGTGAGCAAATATTAATTGGCCATCAGAAACAAATGCCCCGTATTATTTAAAGACTGAGGCATCCTTTCACTAAAGAGCATAAACTACCCGACCAAAATGAAAAGACATGACATTTAACGCAATGACAAAATGGATACAAGCGAATCAAGTCTACTTTTGTTTAAATGTTTAAATTGACGCGAAAATATCACAGCAATTAATGGGTGTTTTGAGCAAACAATAGCTTTTATTAAAAAGTGATTCATTTTGAAAGGTTCTGATATTAAAAGATACTATAAAATGTGTCAAATAGATAGCAATAAATAAGAACGGCTCGATCTGCTGACATTTTCCTGCGTATTTACCTATTTGCGTTTGTATTAACCCAGATGTAGGTGATTATACAAGTACACGAATGTATTTTAAGTCAATAATAAGTGCTGTGAGATGGTTATACAGAAAATATATGGTCTTGCCTATACAACGAAAATGCTAAAATATTTTCTGAGTGCAGTATTCTCCGTTTTCAACATTGCGTCCAAATTAAAAGAATATATTTATGTATGTGGAGTGTATATACATCCTGTTTGCGTTGCAGATTTTACAAGTAGACGAATGTAATTGTTGGCAAATAGAAATACGTTGTGTGAGTATTTCATGTCGGGGAGAGCTTTCCTACATTGAAAATCAATATTCGAAATATGAGATTTTATCTGAGCTCGAATACCGTTGCTAAAGACAAATGAATGAATATATTAGCTAGTCCAGAGATAGACGGTATTGATGAGCAGTTCTTAATTAGCTGGGGTGGGGGTTGTCTTTTAGAGAAATATTTCGGGTTTTAAGAAGGGAATTGCGGCAAAAGTTAGACTGTTAAAATATTAATCTTTCTAAAAATGACAATTCTACTATGTACGTTTTGAGGCAGGTAATGTTTTTTTTTGTTAAATTTCACCAAGATACCAGTAATAAGGAAAGAAGGCTTGTGGAATTTAACATTCACAGGGTAGTGAAAAGAAGCAAGTGGTAACAGCGAGTAAACTATTTGAGTTTGTGTGACAAAGATGGATAGTAAAAGGGCAAGTATTAGTTAGAGCAGTAGTTCCGAAACCGGGGTCCATATGGACCCCGGCTGATCCATATAACATTGCTGGGGATCCAAACAAAAGAATAGCAAATTGGCGGTCTACGGTAATATTTTAGTGGCCCATAGAGAAATTTTATTTACAACTGAGAATTAGAATTTCTACAGTAATCTCCGTCATATTAAAATACTAAAAATAGAAAACAACCCTTAAACTAGCAGAAAACGAGATCAACCGATGTAAATTAGCGTCCCTTTTACTCTACTTTGATTGTAAAAGTTGAATAAAAACAGAAAAAGATATCTAAAAGAAGGAATATATATATATATATATATATATATATATATATAAAGTCAATTATATAAAAATTGTGATTTATTATATAAATAATAATATTAATTCTAAATACTAATAAAATATTAATATACTAATATAAATTAATACAGTAATAGACTCGAAATTATAAATTAATACAGTAATAGACTCGAAATTGGGAAAAGGTATAATCTTTGACTATCGTTGACATCAATGTCAGCGATAGTCAAAGATTATACCTGGAACCGAATATAAAAAAAAAAAACAAACTCGCATCAATCAATTATTTCAGTCAGTTATGTGCCATGCGTGATACACGCTTAGGCGATCATGTATCTTTCGATACATGACTGACGAGGTAGATTTTTTTCCGCAGTAGGTTGCCATTTCTTTTGGCGATAGACCAGTTGTAATCCATGGCTATAGAACCCAGTCTGTCCTGCTATCTACCCATAGCTGGGGGAAGAAGACGAAGATTCACACCTTTCCCAATTAAGTGAATGTCATGGATTCGACTGGAATTCGAACTCGGCTCTCCGATTCTCCAATCCGAGCCGCTATCCATTACTATATTATAAAACGTTTTATTATAAGTCATTTTACTAATGTACATAAATGTCCCATAGAATCTAGTTGCAAAATACAAATTTATTTTCATTAAATTAGTTTTACTTCAAAATAAAGCATATACATTTACTTTAATACAATTCAATACATTTACTATTTCTATAATATTTTAATACATTTACTATTTCTATAATATTTAATACATTTACTATTTCTATAATATAATTCTTAAACTTATCTATTAGTAACAAATAAAATAGGCTTTTTTTTCATCGAATAGTTATGGGGCTCCATTAAAAAAAAATAAAAAGTAAAAGTGGTCCACGGGTGAAAACATAGTTGAGAACCACTGACTTGAGACCAAAAACATCGTGGTATATGACTGAATAAGAAAGTTAGAAAAGGAAAAAATGTTCTAAAATGTCGGGAAAAGAGTGCAAGGGTAAAAAACAGGATTGAAAAACATTGCTCTAGAGTGTAACAGACAGTTAAATACTGTTACGAATGCTTCAGATATTAATTAATGCGATAAAATGCTAGAGGCAGAATTCACGTTAGAATGACGTAGGAAGGTAGATTCTTTCCGCGACCTGTAAATCTTTACAAAAATTTAATCTTCTTTTTTATATAATAACTGATAAAGATAACGAGGTCCGGTTCCTGTGCGATCACCTAAGTAAACAAGATGTCTTATCGCTTGGGAATACCAAGTTCTGTAAGCTTGGATGTGCGGGTGGTGTAATGGGTAACGGCACAGAATTGGAAATCAGGAGAGCCGAGTTCCAATTCCAGCCGGGTTCTTTATGTTCACTTACGCGCAAATACTCTTGAGAAAGGCATGAATGCACTTCTTTCCTTGCAGCTACGGGTCAATTAGTAGGAACTGTATCAGTAAATCATTATTATCTACAAAAGATTCTTACAATCTAAAAATATTTTCTGGTTTTAAGTAACCTGCAAAGGATTGATAAGCCGTAAAAAAACGAATCAATAATAAAACAGTAATACTCATGAGGTGTGTCATAACAAATGGGAAGTTAATTTTGATAATAGTGTGAAGAATTTCTATCTGAAAATAATCCATTTAGCCAGTGTCCTTTTTGGATATACACTGCGTCACACATTATTAGACACAAAAGGTTTATTTTTTAAATGACAACCTCTATCTGCGCAGTTAGAATGAAAAGCTGTTCTCTTCATCTTTATTGCCATATCCACAGCGTTTCGTTCGTTGTACGCCCCTGCCTTCTTCAGGATTTGTCTATATTTCTGAGATGAGATATTGTAACTATTTACACCATTTACACCGTTCGGACTGTTGTCTTCATTTGTTTTGCTATACTCATGACGTTTCGGCCGTTGTATGCTCCGGCTTTCTTTAGGTAATGTACGTTGGAATTTTGAACTGAAACCTTTCACGGTAGCAAATTAGTCTAATTTCACGTTCCGTGTCTTTTTTGATATCTCAATTTCAATTGATTCCCGTTAGTAAATCAAGTTTTTGTTCCCTCTACTGTGGCCAAGTACTGAACTTACTTTGGGTCAAGTCACTCTTTGGATTACTTCAACCAATGCTTTTATTCTCTTGGAGAATTGAGGTACTAAGGGGAATTAACTGAAACTGAGATATCCAAAAATTCATGGCTCGTTGAATTAAAACAATCTTGTGTCATTCTTAAATAATCTCACCAGATCTAGACTCTCATATGGATGTCATGACTAGCGCCAAACTCGTTCAGAAGTATGTAAACTATTAGCTCTATACAATCGCTTTCTAAGATCAATATTTAAAAATAGCTTCGAGCGGATGTAGCGTTTAGGTTTTAGCGAAGTGCACACTTCTTCGAACCTCGAGGACTTGTGCTACAGAATCACAAACAAAGAAATGTACCAAATAAGAGAAAACACATCACTTGAGGACTTTGAACAGAAGCAACAGCTAAAATGGATAACGCCTGCAACTCAAAGAGAAAGCAATGATATGATGAAGATGCTGACATTTCTCGTGACTTCAAACAAAAGGTTAGAAAGGGTGCTTCGATCAATACTGGAAAGAGCAATAAGAGTTACTGGACCCGATTTTATTTTAAGAGACAGTTTTTATAAATTTAAACCGAAAGTAGAACTGGCTGTTTGGTCAATGAATGTCGAAAGTTTATTTATAAGGAAATGGCTAATATTGTGCCGATTTCTGTAACCGTTTTTTATAGGTAAACAGTGGATTTGAAAAGTGACTTAAAGTCGTTTTATTGGCGAAAGAGCTTTTTTTTCTTCTCTTATTTGTATTCTGTAGCAGTCGTAGCATTCCCCGTTCTCTTCCTTAAAGTCATAACAAGACAAGGAAAAGACTTGACGGCCCTCACTAAAAATGAAACAACATCCAGGAACGTACAATTGTGTACATTACAGAACCCGGGTAATTGTTGGCCTTTTCCTGCACCGCTGTGTGGCAAGAAGCATGGCTTGAGGGGTTGGGGGTTGTTTTGCTAGACGTAATGATAACAATTACACGCTTCCAGGTATTCATTTTGTGCCATGATCAGTTGTATTGTTTCTTTCTTGCTTTTTTTTTCCTCAATCCTTCCCACCCTCCTTCTTTGTTTCTCTTTCATAGGCACTGACTCACCGGTACGTGTCTCCCAACCAAGAGCTGGCAGCTGTCTTGGTACTCGAAGCCGCCGATCGCACCAGAGTGCACTCCTCACGGAAAAGACCTACGACGTCACTTCCGCCAGGCATTAGAGTTGTCGCTTCCTGCGCGGCCCTGAGAGGGGTCTGGCGCTACGATGACCATCATTTACCAGTATCGGGTGGCTACCACCAGCCTCGGTGGCTTCCTTCGATTACTTACAATATGGCGAGGAAGCGTCTACAAATTGATGTACAAAGAAATACTCATCTTCAGCTCCATGTATGCGGCCATCAGCGTAACCTACCGTGTGGGACTCAACGAGAAACAGAGACAGTAAGTTAGACACACTTTAATTATATCTTGAACTTGTTATCTAGATTATTGTCCCTTTCCCGCCCACTCAAACAAGGTTTCTGTTGAAGATCAAGCAGTCATTATTTCCCCAAACAGAAACTAAATTTCACCTTCGGCCCAGCGAGCTGGCGATTTTATTTTCTTCCTATTTTCTTTCTTTGATACACTCTTTAAATGGTGCTTCCCTTCTGCCACCTTCATTATACACATACCTGTTCCTCTCTCGATTCTATCTATCTATCTATCTATCTATCTATCTATCTATCTATCTATCTATCTATCTATCTATTTCAGTGTACTCATTATCTCTCTCTCTCTATAAATATATATATATATATTACAGTATACTCATTATCTCTCTCTATTTATATATCTATCTATTACAGTATACTCATTATCTATCTATCTATCTATCTATCTATGTCAGCGTACTCATTATCTATCTATCTATCTATCTCAGTGTACTCATTATCTCTCTCTTTCTCTCTCTCTCTCTATATATATATATATATATACATACATTACAGTATACATTATCTATCTATCTATCTATCTATCTATCTATCTATCTATGGCAGCGTACTCATTATCTATCTATCTATCTATCTATCTATCTATCTATCTATCTATCTATCCTTCTCAGTGTACTCATTATCTCTCTCTTCTCTCTCTCTCTCTCTCTCTATATATATATATATATATATATATATATATACATATATTACAGTATACTCTTTATCTATCTATCTATCTATCTATCTATCTATCTATCTATCTATCTATCTATCTATCTATCTAATTTGGACATAGCATTATAGGTCGACTGGACTTGCTGACGATTATGGTACTTTCACTTTACGATGGAAGTCAGTTCCAAGGCAGATTAAATGATCACTCTCTCTAAGAATCAGTTGAATGCTTCTAAAATTAAGAGTATCCGGGAATGAATTTACTGGTTCATTTCTATACTTATGTTTACCTTCTTCCTATGACACACACACACACGCACACACAAAACACATATACACACATACAAACACAAACATATGCATACACACATACACAAACGTACACATACGGATACAGACACATGGACACATCGAATATATACCCTTTCTACGAACACATACTACCATTTGCTTGCATACATGTCGACATCTACTTTCACACACACACAAACACACACACACATACACAGCGAGAAAGAGAGTATGAGAGAGAGAGAAGGAAAGTAAGAAAAAGAGACAAAAAAAAAATTAAAATAAATTCTGCCAACTCTGCTACAGCTATTTCCAATTCTTAAACATACTTTTTTGCTTCTCACTTAACTTTGGTATAAAAAATTCACTAACGCCTCCATCATGTCGTTTTTTTTTCTCCATTTATTTTCGTCCATTTTAATTCCGGAAATGTCCTCACTGACCTTGATCATCAAGATTTACGTCACCGTCTTTCACATTGTAAAAAGTGTGCTTATTCCGTCACGCTATGTCACCAGATGATAATCGGAGAGCCAACCAGACAAAACGAGATGAAATTCCAACCAAAGAATCCCCTATAAACAACATTTTTACAATATTTTACAGCTTCTCTTTTCTTACAACTTTTTTTTATTTAGCACCGATATTCAGAGAACTTAAAACGATAACTTGGTTACTTATTTTAGTGCATCATTTTACTTAGAATTATTGCCACGTGGCGCAAACAACAGTCAGTGCATTAAACAAATTAGTCGTAAATAATCACCAGTATCTTTTTATTGTCATCTGTCATTTACATTATTGCTAACTAAGACGTTTTTGCATTTATATAAGTAACGAAGTAATCGATCTAAATAACGCGGTTAATCGAAATAAGTGCTGCCTAATTTGTACCGTTTTCATTTTCTTTGGTACATATCTGTATATACTCTGGGCTATCGTAGATTTTATACTAAATTCTCTGATAAAAAAGGAAAAACTAAAGAAGTTTGTGATTTTATGTTTTCTTTTTTTGTTTTTTAATGACTGGTGATAAAACTCAAATTGAAATAAAAAGGACACTTATACGTAGCATCAAAAAGAGAGAGAGCTGTCATTTCTAGGGTACATAATGAGGAAAGGGGGCTTGGAAATTTGATACGCCCAGGACATATAGAAGGCAATAGAAACAAAGTGCATAACCCTTACCTTACGAGCTTTTGTAAATGGTTGGCAGAACGGGGATTAGGAAAGATTGCAAAAAAAGTACTAAGAGCTGCAAAGGACAGGAAGTGGTGAAGAGCCATGATCGCCAACGTCCTGAAGGAACACAGCACATAGAAGAAGATGAAACTTATCCACCAAACAGCAGCAGTAGAAGTGATAAGACTAAACAGACACTTTCTATCAGTCACAGCTTCTTTGAAGATTGTTACTTTTGATTCAGCTGCAATGGACTTCCCCGAAACACGATCCCGTAAACTATATCTCCTCTCCTCTATTCATCTCTTAAACATGTCCGTACGTGCACTTGGCTGACTTTTGGTCATGACTGACAGTGCATAGAGCAGCCGTATTATTTTGCTATTGAGGACAATAGTCCGAGTAATGTAAATAGTGTACATAATACCTCATCTCAGAAATATAGACAGATACACAGTAAACATATATATATATATATATATATATATATATATATAGTGTGTCTGTGTGCGTGTGTATGCGAAGTCTATCTGGAAGTTATTCTCGCGCTTAATATTAAGGAAAACAATAGTCTAGCTAAAGGGGAGGTGCCTTAGTCCACTTCAAATACTACCTTTGGAATCTCACATACTTAGTTACATATCGCCTTCGACTATCTGTAATGATAGCGTTCGGGATCGTCATCAGCTGCCGCTATTCCAATCTCTTTTATCTTATTCTCGGCTTTTTAACGTCATATTTAGCTTTGGGTAAAGACAGAAGTCGCAGAGATCCAAATCGAGGCTGTAATGTGACGGTGATGGTGATGGAGCAGGAGGATAGCATATTTGAGGGATGCAATTTTTAGGCTAAAAGAATATCTGGCACAAGACCAGAAGAATTAAGGCATTAGCACCTTGAAATTTATATTTAATCAGATCTCTGGAACCCCTTTTATTGCATGAAAGGAAAGTAGGAAAGATTTCATTTCAAGATTGTCAGAATTCTTTCCATTCAGATTCCCATGATCTTTCAAGGAGACATAAAATTGGTTTCATGGAAGGATTTGCCAATTACCACTAAAGATGATTATATATTTGGATTTATTTCTTTTTTTACAGATTATTAAAAACCAGAAAATATTTTTAGATTGTAAGGTGTTTTTAAAGATAATAATGATTTCGTGATACAAGTCTTACTAATTAACTCATAGATGGGGGAGGTGAGGTGGATTTATAACTTTTCGAAGGGTATTTGCGCGTAAGTGAATATCACGAACTCGACTGGAATTGAAAATCGTTATATATTATCTTGACAAAACCCAAAGAAGAATCTGTAATGTTATTAGTCTTGACCTGGCATCTCAGCTTCAGTCACTTTCCCATCGCCATAACGTAGCTTTCCCGTGCATTTTCTCCAAATATTTTCATGGTAATTGTTCTGATGAGTTTTCCTTTTTAGTGTCTAGATTTATGAATTTAAGCATAGTACTAGATTTGTGGCAAAGTCTCATCATTTTACATTTGAAAGAGCTACATGGAACAATATAAGTTCTATGCTAATAATTTCTTTTCTCACACTTCTCGCTTGTTGAACTCTCTTTTGGCTTTTTTCAAGTCAATTTTGATCTTCAAACGCAATGTCAATCATTATCTTTTGTCGTCTTAATTCATGTTCTTTTATAGTTCTCTCCCGTTAATAGTGTTTTTTCTTCGTATTCTCTAACATTCAGTAACGCCTTGCGTCTTAGTCGCTTTATTGTCTTCTTTGATTAAAAAAAAAAAAAACACCACCTGCATATTCAAGCTTACAGTACGAGGACCGGTGTTTTAGTGTCATATTGTTGTAAGAAAATAGCACTTTAGAAAATAAATGTAAATTTTATTCCATTTGCACAGGATTTTATTCCGTAAATGAAAACCTAACCCAAAATATTTGTTAACGATTTAACATGCACGCGAATGCTTGCATTCTTCAACAGTTTATCATTCGTCCATGCTTCCAATATTGCTGCCACATCTGGTCTGGTGCTTCTGCTATATATTTAGTGTTTCTTGATAAAATCCAAAGAAGTTGCAATGTTATTGGTCTTGATCTGGCATCCCGGCTTCAGTCACTTTTCCACTGCCGTAATATAGCTTCCCTGTGCCTTTTCTATAAATATTTTCATGATAAATGATCTGATGAGCTTTCCTCTTTGCTACTTAGATTTTATGCATTTAAGAGCAGTATCAGGAGGCACGATGGAGTAATGGATTGAGGAATCGGAGAGCCGAGTTCGAATTCCAGTCGAATCCATTACATTCACTTATGTGCTAATACTTTTGGGAAAGGTGTGAATCCTCTTCTTCTCCCCCTAGCTATGGGTAAATAGCAGGACAGACCGGGTTCTATAACCTTGAATGGCAACTGGTCTACCGCAGAAAGAAATGGCAACCTATTGCTGGAAAAAATCTGCCTCGTCAGACATGTATCGAAAGATCGCCTAAGCGTGTATCACGCATGGCACATAATTGACTGACTATACTGGCGGTAAGATTTCATCATTTTATAGTTGAAGAGGTTAGATGTAACCGTAAGTTCTTTGCTAACAGTCTCTTTTCTCATACTTTCTTTTCCGGTTTTTGCTTTCCAGCCAACTTTGATTTTCAAAGATTTAAATGCAATATCAATCGTTATCTATTGTCTTCTATTTTTTTTTTGTTCTCAATCCTTAATAATGTCTTCCATTTTCTTATTCATTCATACCCAGTAAGTCCTTGTGTGTTAGTGGTTTTATTGCTTGCTTGCGGATGAAATGATAAAAAAAAATTATTATATTTGGAACAATGTATTTAAGAATAATATATAATAAACATGTTTCGAACTGTTTATTTCGGAACAAAAGATGTTTAAAAGTTCAATTTCTACCAAATTATGCGAAATAATGAAACTCATATGTGAATTTCGTAAGAATGCTATCAATAAATAATATTATGGTTTTATGCACCTGTAGATACCACAGGTATGACTAATTAAATAAATACATTTAAATAATTGTTCATATTTTATCTAAATCTCTGAGATAAAGATTTATATTAATCTTTATTATTTTCAGTTCGACTAACGTCCTCATCTTTGTTTTTATCATGATCATGTTTCGGTTGTTTCCTCAGGCCTTCTTCAGGTATATGTCGATACGGGTAATAAACACTATACAACAGTGATTTGTTTTTATCACCATATTAAACTAGTTCTGTTAATATCTGTAAAAGTCTGTCCAGTATCTTCTGCCGTTGACATTCTGTGTTTTCCTTGATGTAATCATAAGTCAATCGATGATGCGAAGAACTTCCATTAAAATGCAGACTCTTGGGGAAGCCACTGCCAAACGCTTTTAAATGTTTACTATCTTTTCAAACTGCTTTAGAAATTTGTCAAAGACCACCCATTAGAAGATGACGTCACTTGTGTCTCTAAATTCTAGTTTTTTTTTTAAATCTAGAACTTAGATCCTTAAACTTAAATTGTCTCCATGTTTCAGTTGCTGCAGCCTTGCTGTCAAACTTGGCTCTCTCTGTCGCCCTTTATTTGTGAATTGCCTCCCCTTGCCACTGCAGTCTTTCATTTGACCTCATGCTTGCATATATAATGTTTCAGTTTTGGCAGTTTGGGTAAAAACAAATCGAT